CACACACACACACACACACACACACACACACACACACACTCTCACTCTCACTCACACACACACACACACACACACACGCACACACACACACACACACACACACACACACACACACACTCTCACTCACTCACTCACACACACACAGACACACACACACACATCCAGCTATCATTTTTGAAGACATCCTCATTTGTAAAAACAGTTCTAAGAACACTTAGCTAACATTCCCATTAGGTCATATTTCTGCACATTCTCGGAAGGTTTACAACATTCGATTTTTAAAACATTTTTCTTGGTTATGTGAACCTTAAGGGAACATTCCATTTGATCATTTTCCAAACATTATGGAAACATTACTTTAGATTTTTTTTTTAATGTCCTGAAACAAGTAACAAAAAATATTAGCTGAACGTTCGACTAAAAAAACATTTCAGGAATAAACATTCCATGAATGATGTCTAAATAACATTTTGAGAACGTTAATGACCAGATAACTCTAAATGAACATTACTAGAGAATGTTTATTCATAACCTTGTTAGCTGGGCTCACATTAACTAAATAAAGACGCACTATTGTCTTTGATATAAAACAAGTTATGACTGATTAACTCAAACTCCAATATCCAGATTTAGCTCACTTTCTGATGACATATTTATCCTTAAAGAATAGATCATTTAACACACACATACACACACACACACACACACACACACACACACACACACACACACATACACGCACACACACACACACACAGGTGGGCGGGGCCTAGGTGAACCTGCAGGACAGGTGTGTGTGAAGCTCACCTGAGCGCGTTAGAACGGAGCTCAATCATGAGATTATCAGCCTCGGAGTCCTTCCCTAGACATTCAGCTCATGTTTCGTGACAGAACTGCTGCTTCATCTCGCATACTTTCTTTGTTATGCTGACTAACGTGGATTTTCTGAGCACAGTTTAAGATGGATTAACAGAAGGAGCGGGTGAGAACATGAGGAGATGTGTTGAGGAACAGCAGAGCAATATCTTGGCAGAATAAACCAGCAGCATGACGAAACTTCTGGCCCTCATCAGTGTGCTCGGCTTCAGATTGATGGGTAAGAAAAGCTCGTCATTAAAATCAGGGCACATTTACTTCAGTCATTTCTTTGTCAGCACATTTGTTCTTTTTATGTACTTTATTGTGTGTTTCATGCTGCATTTTTAGTGAAGTAAAAGGTGAATAAAAATAGTATAGTAGCTGGATATGAGTCAGAATGAAATGTTAGCCCAGAGTGTGTGTTTGTGTGATTGATCTGCTATGTGGTGCAGTGACATTCTTTTCTGCTGTAATTAAAGTTAAACCAGCTTCAAAAACCATTACTCATTCATTTATGGCTGACATGGAGGAAATAAGTGAACATGTGGTGTGTCAGTGTATGTTGAGTGTTTCTGTCGGCTGAGACGAGAACAAACAATAACCAGAACTACAAGATGACATTCTCTCACTATGTCTCACTGTCTTCTGCTTTCTGTCTCGTTTTGTTGACTTTGAAAGACGAGTGTCTGGTCCAGAGTTTCTCATCTGGTTTTGATTCAGGATGATTTTACATTGGACATGAAGTGGAGGCCCAAAATAGTTCACAATCATGCAAAATGAGCAGAAATGTCCTTAAACTTAAATCCAAAGCCAACAACAGAGTATAAAATGCACAAGAGATCTCCAGAGTGTCTCAAACTGTGCTAAGATTGCCATCAAATGTCAGAGATCTCAATATTAACTCAATATTTCTAATTTGAGCTGTTAATAGACATTCATTTTATAGATTTATACTTAAGACTTAACTTAGAGTGTTTTATCCAGTCAAAGCTCTTTTAGTGTAACTGTAGCTGGAGCTTCACGAGTCAAATCTTGACTGGTTTTGATCAAGTAAGCGTCAGAATAAGTGCAGTAATATCTCCAGATGAACACTTACTACACTGAAGCAGCTCAGCTTTACTTGATTCTCCATCAATCATGTTTTAGAGTCTCAAATCTGATCTTTTGAGGAGCGTTTGTTTCCAGAAGCTTTACGTTCACTGTTCCTCAGCGGAGGAATGATCTTCACAAGCCTCCAGAACATCTCACATCTTCTGAGGAGCCTTTATTTCTTCAGCTCTCCATCACTGCTTTATATGTTTGGAGCATTTCAATCTCATCTTATTATTACTGGAGATATAGAGCCACGACTGATATTTAGATCATTTCATGTCAGTATCTGCTGCACTGTTAGAAAGATCTCACTGATTTACATCACAAGCAGCAGAAGTACATATATGTGACCCTGCAGCACAAAAGCAGTGTTAAGTTGCTGGGGGATATTTGTAGCAATAACCAACAATACATTGTAAGGGTCACAATTATTGATTTTTCTTTAATACCAAAAATCATTAGGATATTAAGTAAAGATCATGTTCCATGAAGATATTTTGTAAATGTCCTAAATATATCAAAACTTAATTTTTGATTAGTAATATGCATTGCTAAGAACTTCATTTGATAGATTTTCAAATATTGTTCTATCCTAACAAACCATACATCAATGGAAAGCTTATTTATTCAGCTTTTAGATGATTTATAAATCTCAATTTAAAAAAATGTACCCTTACGACTGGTTTTGTGCTCCAGGGTCACAAATATGATAAAAAAACAACAACATGCAAACTTAAGATTTTTTTTTTTTTTTTTTACAAATGTTGTCAAAAGGTTAAATAAATTGTTCATTTGATGTGAACAACAAACAATATGGAATGTATTTTATTATTTGCATTTTTTGGGACCGGTCACACATCTGTAACTCTCTCATTGCGCTGCATGGGAACGTCCTTGGTTTTTTGTGACATGTTTGTAGGGCAAGAGGGATCATGATAGCATGGGTTTATTATTAACCGTCTTCGGCCCTCACCTCATGTCTAATAGTAAATCCATTCACTGCTGTTTGCAGATGTTCACACTGTCTCTTTATGTCTCAGGCTGTGTTCACAGTGAGTTTATCGAGCCGTCTCCGTCTCTGGCCCTGCGCTCGTTCTCCGGCACACAGACCCGGATGCCCTGCCGCTTCACGGTGAAGGGCGACGAGAAGCTGGTGCAAGTGACCTGGTACAGAGAGAAACCAGGAGGAGAACGAGAACAGATCATCATAGGACACTTTACTGAAGGACCTGAAGGTGTGTGTTTGTGTGTGTTTGCACCATTTACAAACACAGACTAGTTGAGTGAATCTCACAAAACCTGTTAGGAATGTTTCTGGCTCAGGTTTCACAATGCAGAAAATTTTAATGGTCCTCAAAACAGGCTTCGTTTTCTTTTCTCGTGATTTTGGGCTGAAATATGTTGTGTGTGAGAACTAGACGTGTTCCATGGTTATTATAGTTCACTAAACAAAGCTAAAAACATTTTTGTTGCTTGAAATAAAATAAGTGCTAACTGAAATAAAATAAAATGTATGAAAACTATTAAATTCTTAATAAAATAAATAAAATGTAAATAAAAAAAAATAATACTAACTATAAAAACTAATGAAAATGACAAAAAAAATCTACAAAATTACTAAAACTTTAGCTAAACTTAAAATGAAAACAGAAAACCAGTCATATCAAAATATGAAAAAACTAATAGTTTTTCATTGATGCTAAAATGAAACTAATATGCAAATAATTTTTGTTACTTGAAATTAAATAAATGAAATTTATAAATAAAATATAATAAATCAAATTCTGAATAGATAGAATAAATGAAATATACTATAACATGAACTTATTTTATTTTAGCTACAACATTTCTAATTTTCATTTAGTTTCATTTGATACTGAATTAACTAAAAGTGACTAAAAATTATATGGACATATTAAAAAAAACGAATAAAAATGATCAAACAAATTACTAAAAATTTTACTAAGATTAAAATGAAAACAAAAATCATAAAAAGAAAAACTAATAAAAATGATAATAGTACATCACAGATACTAAAATTGCACTTGAAATTAATTTACTTGAATTTAAATAAACTGAAATGAGTTCAGTAATTTCAGACATTTAAAATGTTTGTTTGTTTTATTTTATTTCAGCTAGTTGCCAAGGCAACATTTCTCATTTTCATTTAGTGTAACTGGATGTAAAATATGGATCTAAAATAACTAAAAGTGAAACTGAAAAAGAATTTAATAACTATATAGATGAATAAAAATGTCAAAAACACACTACTAAAACGGTAAAATTTTATTGAAAATGGAAATTATAAAAAATAAAAACGAATTCAAAATATGTATTAAATAAAAAATAATGTAAAAGTATTACAAAGTATTTATTAAATATTAATAACTATAATAGTATCTAAATGATACTAAAATAGCACTGGTGTGTTTTGGTGATTCATTCACCCAGCACAAACAGACACAATCATAATTCCCCCCCCAGCAGTTTTGTTAAATGGAAACTGTCTCGCATGCATTGTGTTCTGACACCTGGAGACGTTTGTCATGACGAATATTTTCAATGGTGCATTGTGTTCATCTCTTTTATCTGAGCCGACTCACACCTGCCGTCTGTGTTAAAGTGCATTGCTTTAATTCCCCCAAAAACTAAATATTCTGTCATTATTTACGCACTCTCATATCAGCTCAAACCTGTATGACTTTCTTTCTTCTGTGAAACACAGAGGAGCTTGTGCTGCTCTTTTGCATACAATGGCAGTGAATGAGGACTGGGGTTGCTCCGAAAAGCAGCATAAATGCTGCATAAAATATCATAACAGTAGCTGATATAACTTAAACGCTATATTCCACGTCTTCTGAAGTCATGTGATCATCATTTGTGTGAATAACAGACCCAATTTTAGCATGTTTTCACTGTGAAGCTTGAGCTGTGGCCACCAGGGAATGGAAAAGAGCAAAAGAAATGATCGGAATATAACTTGTATATCCTGTTAACTTCTTTTGTGGTTGCATGAAAGAACAATACTTGGTTTGAAACGGTGTTATCTTAGTAATATCTGAGATACTATTATAGTAGACTATAGAGACTATAGTTTTTGTTTTTATATATTCTATTAATTTTAATTTTAAAGTAATTTTTTATGGTTTTGTCATTTTTGTTAGTTGTTTTATTTAAAAAAAAGTCTATATAGTTTTTATTTTAGTTTTAGTTATTCTAGTACATCAAGTTAAACTAAATGAAAATGAAAAATAAAATGATCTAAAATAAAATAAGTTTTTAAAGTTTTTTTTTTTGTGTATTAGTTTTTATTTTTATCATTTCTGTTTTCGTTTTAATTTTAACATTTTAATAATTTAGTTTTTGACATTTTCTTTTTAAATGTCTGTATAGTTTTTATTGATTTTCATTTTATTTTCAGTTATGTTACATGTCGTTAAACGAAATGAAAATGAGAAAAAATTGACAAAACATTAAAAATTAAACTTATTTTATTTTTTACTTTTTTTAATTCAGTTAACATTTGCCTGTAATTTATTTCAAGTGATGAAGTTTTTTTTTAATGATATTACTTAGTTTGTTATGTTATGTGTGTATGTTGACAGGATTTTACAGGTCACCTGTAATTTGGATTGAACCTGCAGCTTTTGTATAAGCAGCAAAAAGTCTTCTGGTGATTCTCAGTGTCTTTGATGAAACAAGACTTCTGATGAAACGATAAGAGCTCAAGAGAATCGACTTGGTTTCAGTGGATTCACATTACACTGACATTTACCAAACGGCAATGTGATATCACACATACTGAAGTTTGCATGTGATTTCCAGATAGGACGTTCAAAGAAGGACCAGGAATTGAAAAAAAAGACAACCATTTGTTTATTTCGTGTTGTTTTTGACATGAGTGTCCTGAGAATTTCCCTCTAATTGAATGTGATGTTCTACTTCCGTTGTTTTATTTCAGCGTCTCCTGATTTTCTGAATCGTGTTCAGTTCGAGAGCTCCGACCCGACCGTCGACTCCACGCTGCTGATTCTGAACACAAAGAAGGCCGATCAGGCCACATCCACCTGCCACGTCTCCATCTTTCCCTCCGGAAACTTCGAGAGACAAATCAGTCTGACTGTCTGGAGTAAGATCCCCTCTTTTCAAATTTCACCTGATTTTATCAAGCTTCATTTCACTTCTGTTTGCTAAAGGAAGGTCTGTTAAACAGTTAATATGCAGTAAGCTACAAAATCAACATGTTTTTGTATTTCTGCTAAACTAACCAGTTTTAAAAAACTTTGCTTTTGTAATTGCTCTGTCGTGTAGCACTCCAGGAAGTAATACGCTGTAAAAAAAAAAATATTTGTACAGTAAAAACTGTTAACTGATTAATTATAAGTTACCCTACCTTTGGGTAACTATAAGTTACAGATACCATTATATGTGTCCCTGGAGCACAAAAGCAATATGTCATTCACAATGATTTATATAACATTTTATTCCTAAAACATGGCGAAAATGCATATCTTTAAAGGCTGTGAGGTTTGTTTCTCCACTTCAGCAGCACTTACATACACCAAAACTTAGGGTTTTTTCCTCTCTGTATTCTGAAGGTTTTTACTGAGGGGATTGTTCATATATCATTCACACTGATTTATATAACATTTTATTCCTAAAACATGGCGAAAATTTATTTTTTCTGTCTTTTGACAGTATTTTCTGATTTAAGGAGTGATAAAAAGAGAAATCCAAAATCACCTCTGTGAAAACCTTTAACTCTAATATATCAACAAAATCAAAAAGGAATTTTGATCCTGGCTTTATCCAGTGTTCAATGTATGCAAATTAGTGCATCTGTAATTAGATAATGCATCATTTAAACACAACATTTCAGAAAAGTTGTAATAAAAGACAATTGTCGTAATGTACTGTGATTAATTAACTGGTGATTATCTATTACTGTCTTGCCTTAAAATATATATGTTATAAGTTGTAATATATAGAGGCTATATATTTTACAATATATAAAACTATTTATAAAACGAATAGTTCCGGTCCTTGATTCTGATTGGTTGAGCCACGTTCGAAGCTGTTGTAAATTACTCTACAAAGTAACATACACCTTTGTTTACGTTTGTGTGATGCTCGGCAACCACTTTGTTGCAACAACAACTGTTTCTGAGGAACTACATTGTTTGGCGGAAGAATAATGTTTTTATTAATATCATTCAATTTTATTTGCTCTGTTTTATTTTGTGAAACCTTACTACGTATATGGAATAACCGTTTTATAAAAACAGTAATCCCCGTGAAGCCGTGGTTTACAGTGAATTTATAACGGTGAATTTATACGCTTCGCGTTGTGCCTAACAACACCCCTTAGCTGTTATAAATTCACTGTAAATCACGGCTTCTTGGGGCTTATTGCTTTAATAGACTTATTTTTGATTAAAAAAAAAAAACTAATAAAAATGACAAAAACATTAAAATTATTAACTTTAAAATTAAAACTGAAAATATAAACATAAACTTGAATATTGACAAACTATAACAGGTTATTGCAGCTATTGTTAGATATTTTTGTCTATACAACCGTTTTATAAAAACAGTAATCCCCGTGAAGCCGTGGTTTACAGTGAATTTATAACGGTGAATTTATACGCTTCGCGTTGTGCCTAACAACACCCCTTAGCTGTTATAAATTCACTGTAAATCACGGCTTCTTGGGGCTTATCACATATCGTGCCTAACAACACCCCTTAGCTGTTATAAATTCACTGTAAATCACGGCTTCTTGGGGCTTATTGCTTTAATAGACTTATTTTTGATTAAAAAAAAAAAACTAATAAAAATGACAAAAACATTAAAATTATTAACTTTAAAATTAAAACTGAAAATATAAACATAAACTTGAATATTGACAAACTATAACAGGTTATTGCAGCTATTGTTAGATATTTTTGTCTATACATTCATCAGTTCTTGCATTACTATTGTATCTTACTTTAATGTACTGTACTTCTATTCAGTGTTCTAAAATGCCACAGTTTGCAGTGTTATTATGCTTTAACACAGTGCTTCATCTGTGTTTCTCCTTCACTAGTTTTGCCGATCGCTTCTCTGGAGCCGGTGATTCTGCAGGAAGGCCAGTCGTTCCGCGTAGCTGCCTCCTGTCGCTCGGTTGGACACCCTTCACCGCGTTTGTCCTGGGACACGGACTTTCCCGGGCAGTCGCAGAACCGCACTGGAGAAGATGGAGTCGTAACCTCGCAGTTTTCCCTGCATCCGCTGCGCAGCATGAACAAGCAGCGCCTGGACTGTCTGGTGTGGCATCCCGCTCTCGACGGCCCGCATAGAATCAGCAACGAGCTCGTCGTGCACTGTGAGTTATCCTAAAACACATCAGAAGCTGTGTGACTTCATGTATTCTGCATGACACAAAAATAAACATTTTGCATGCTGCTCTTTTCTTTGAGACACTATTATAGTTTGTAATATTTAGAATTAAAGGCACAATATGTACGTTTTTTTTATTAAAGTATCCAAAAACCACTAGAACAGTGTTACTTCGTTTGTTGACGTGTGCTTAGATTATTCCAAATGTTTCCAAAAAATTTTAAATCCAGAGAAATATGAATTTAACTAGTGTAACGGACCTCGTCATTGCGTCGCCTGTCAATGACGTCATACACCCTCGATTTCTGGTTTTATTTTGTTAAAAAACATGGAAACGCCAAAGGCGCTTTAATATGTTATGCATTTTATTAGACAGGTGACGAACACACAGAGTAGCATTCTAACCAGGGGTGCACATACATTTTTCAGCCTGGTTCTCATAAGAGAACCTGGAGATTTGGTTTGGTCCTCACACTGCACAGTGCATAACCCATTAAATACAACTATAAAAAAAAAATTTAATTGTAGTGATGATATTGGTGCACTTTATTTAGTTTTTTTAATAAAATAATAAAGTGTGATAATACTATTAAAATAAAAAGGGAGTATTAAATATAAATACAACTATTTTATTGTAAACTTAAAAATAAAATGCTAATATTAACTTTTTTTAAAGATGAATTTTCATCATTTTCAAACTTAAAATCAGCAGGCTTTTATTTTGGCGGGTTGTCGGCAAGTAAGTATATGCTCTTCCGGGTTTAGCGCGGGTAGCCTAGATTTATTTATCTATTCAGTTTGAATAGAAATCTTATACCCGCTGCTTTACCCCACATTCGCATGAGCGGAAGCGGTCGACTGTGGCATAATAAAAGCTCCGCTGCTTTCCGCTTCCATGGCTTTTAGCCCCACCCTGCTTCATACTACAGTGACGTTAATAAATCTTTCATACATTTGCTCATTCATGAACATGATTTCTGCCCATGATTCCACACTCAGTCACGGCGTCATCAAACTACACCTTTGTTTCTTTGTTTATTTTGAATATGCGCCCTCTAGTAGCACAAATTACATACTGTGCCTTTAAAGTTTATTTTTATTTTTCATTTTAATTTGTAGTTAACATTTTAGTGATTTTGATGTGAGTTTTTGTCATTTTAATTAGATTTTATTAATGAGTTATTTAAATTTAAAAGTAATGAAATTTAGAAACCTGTTAGTGTTATTTTTGTATCAGTGAAATACTGTTATAGTTATTATTAGTACTTTGCATTATTTTTATATTTATATTTTCTGTTTTTATTGTAATCTTCATTAAAGTTTTAGTTTTTTTTTTGTTTGTGTGATTTTTATTAGTTTTTTTCATATGTCTATATAGTTTTTTTATTTCAGTTTTAGTTTTAGTTATTTTAGTACATCAAGTTAAGCTAAATGAAAGTGAGAAATGCTTCTTTGGGACCAACTGAATTAAAATAAGGTTAAGTTTTTTTATATATTTGATTTTATTTCAATTATTGTTAATTTTATTTCAAGATAATGATGATAATAAAAATAAAATTAAGTTTTTTAAGGTTTGAGTAATTTTGTTTTATTTTTTTATTATTAGTTTATTTTTTAAATATTGATTAAATATGTCTATATTATGTCTATATTAATATATGTATATTCCCTTCAGTTTTAGTTTGTTATTTTAATAGAGAAAGTTAAACGAAATAAAAATGATAAATGTTTCCTTGGGAACTAGCTGAATTAAAATATTATAATTAATATATCTTATTTTATTTGAGTTAATGTTCATTTATATGTATAGTTTTAGTTAATGATAATGTCCTTGATGTGAGCCTGTGTTTGTGCTTCAGATCCTCCTGATGCATTGATTGCTGATTCTGGTTCCTGGAGAATCGGACACTCGGGATCTGAGCTCAGATGTGTGGTTAAAGGAAACCCGTTGCCGCAAAACGTCACGTGGAGCAGGTAACACAGAATGATTTGGACCACACTGCAGTTTATTCTGACCAAAAACCACCCACTTGCACAGGAGCATTCAGTCTGACTGATGTGTGAAGTGACTAACCACAGTTAGCTTGTTTTAACCTGTTATTTTGGGGCAGATGAACATCTAAAATAGATTGAACCACAATAATAGACTGCTACGGAAAAACAGACATTCAAATAAAACACAAAAAAATCTGCTGAACCTGTATGTAGAATTTGTGATCAGAATTTCTGTCCATCCAAAAGTATTTTACAGAATTAAAAATGCTCATACAGTTCTGATCATTAAAATCATTTTACTAGATGTCTGAATAGCCATTAAGTTCCCTAAATATTACTGATTGTATTAAGTGTTGTTAATTTAGTGCATATAAATACATTATTTGGCTAATTATAGACCGATATCTAATCTCCCATTTATTAGTAAAGTACTTGAAAAGGTGGTCGCAACACAAATAAAATCTTTTCTTGAAGAAAATCTAATTATGGAAGAGTTTCAGTCTGGCTATAGAAAGTACAACAGTAAGTATTACAACTAGTTAATTTCGATTAAGTTTCAGTTCTTATCCTTTTAGACTTGAGTGCGGCATTCGACACAATCGACCATGATATTTTAATAAATCGTTTAGAAAAATTGGTAGGCCTTTCTGACAACATATTACATTGGTTTAAAACCTGTATTAAAGGGGTCCTATTATGCTCTTTTACAAAGTCTTGATTTTGTTTTGGGGGTGTACTAGAACAGGCTCTCATACTAGGTTGTTCAAAAAACACATTATTTTTCACATATTTTACATTATGACAACTCCTCTCTACCCAGTCTGGCATGAATGGCTCGAATAGTTCCTGAATCAAATGAAGGCTCGCCTTCTGAAATACAAAATGTGCTGTGATCAGTCAGCTGGGCCGGTGTGTGCTGTGATCGGTCAGCTGGGCCGGTGTGTGCGGTGATCGGTCAGCTGGGCCGGTGTGTGCGGTGATCGGTCAGCTGGGCCGGTGTGTGCGGTGATCGGTGAGCTGGGCCGGTGTGTGCTGTGATCGGTTAGCTGGGCCGGTGTGTGCGGTGATCGGGGAGCTGGGCCGGTGTGTGCTGTGATTGTAAACACTTTAAGTTTGTCTGTCTTGGGAAAGCTAGCGTGTCTCAGACATAGTGATAACACTCGTTGCCTTCTCTAGTGCAGCTCAACCAGGTCTCGTCCCATTCGTCGATATTTGTGATATCACAAATCCCGGGAAAATATGCGTTGTAGTCCAAACGAGTCGTTCGTTGTAGTTTTTGAAAAGTGATTTCTGTTAAATAAAATACCTCCTTTTGAATTGGACTTTGAGCTTTGTAACTTTGCAGATCTTTTTTATGCTCAAACAGCAACATCACAGACTAACTAAAGTTGAAAAAGTGAAAAAGCATAATAGGACCCCTTTAAGGGGAGAAATGTCACTGTTCAACTTGGAGATTATGTGTCTGAGAAACATAAATTCCATTATGGAGTCCCACAAGGAAGCTGTCTTGGTCCTTTGTTGTTTTCATTATACATGCTGACACTTGGTGACATCATCAGAGAAAACAATGTAAGTTTCCACAGTTATGCTGATGATACACCACATGACATGGGGGCTATTAACTCCATTACATAGATTGCCTCATGGCAGTGAATAATTGGATGAGTAATATATTTTTTTTTAAGTTAAATGAGGATAAAACTGATATTCTGTTGGTAGGTCCTAAGACAAAAAAAGAAATGGTGTATAAGAATTTGGTCAAATTGACTCCTTGGGTTCGCTCAGGGGTCACAAGTCTGATTTAAAATTCTCACATCAATAAGGTAACAAAATCATAATTTTTCCATTTAAGGAACATTGCTAAAATTCGAGCTCTTTTAAACCGGAAAGATGCAGAAAAATTAATTTATTTCGAGTAGACTTGACTATTGTAATGCACTTTTTACTGGTCTTCCACAAAAATCAATGAATAGACTTCAGCTTATCCAAAACTCAGCTGCTCAGCTAGTGACTAGAACTAAAAAAAGAAAACATATAACACCAGTTTTAGCTACATTGCACTGGCTTCCTATAAAATTTAGAATAGATTATAACGTTTTCCTTATTGCGTACAAAGCCCGTAATGGCCAAGGACCTAATTATATTGCCAGTTCTCTTGTTAATTATACTCCATCAAGAACTTTAAGATCTTCCAATACAGGTTTACTAGAGGTTCCTAGTTCTATAAGAAAAAAATTGGTGATGCAGCCTTCGTAAATTATGTTCCTAAATCATGGAATACATTACCTTCAGATATTAGGGAAGCTAGCACAATCAGTATTTTAAAAACTAAGATAAAAACTTATTTTTTTAACTTGGCCTTCAGGTGAAAATGTCTGTTTTATTGAATGTGCTGTATTGTTTGACATATATTGTAAGCTTGATGTATTTGTTTTATTGGATGTAATGTTGTTGTTTATTTAACCGTTTATTCTTGATTATGTAAAGCACTTTGAGTCGCATTTTATGTTTGAAAGGTGCTATATAAATAAATGTAGTATTATTATTATTATTATAAATGGAAATTATTACGTCAAACTCTTCTCTAGGGAAAACAGTTAGTGGGGTAAATACTACTATTACTATTTCAGTATTACTATTTATTTTAGTATTTAGTATAGATTTCTACTATTTTGTTTTTGTGTGTGTATTTTTTAGTATTTGTTTTATTACATTTTTTTACTATTTTAGTATTCATATTTATTTTAGTATGTTGTATTTATTTTTACCATTTAACTTTTTTTTAGTAATAGTATTTAGAGTTTGCTTTAATAATTCATATTTATTTTTACTATTTTTATTACTAGTATTTAAAGTTTGTTTTAATGTTTATTTTTTACTGTTTTAGTATGTTGTATTTATTTTTTGCTGTTTTACTATTTAATTATTTTAGTATTAGTACTTGTTTTAATGTGTTTTTTTTTTTGCTATTTTAATATTTTAGTAGCAGCATTTAGTATTTATTTTAATATTTATTTTTTGCTATTTTAATATTTTACTTTAGTTGCATAAACGAGTGTTGAATTGTATTAGTGGCATGGCAAAATCCCTACAAAAACACTAGTTTTCCACTGCTTCTCTCTTTGTGTTTCTCTTTATTTTCCTCTTCCTTTTGTTCTCTTTAGCACAATCACAAAGACCTCTGAACTGCAGCGATGCATATTCACATGCTCCTTTCAGTATAAAATAAAAGCTTCAGTGTTGCATTGCAACCTGAGAGCAAAGAGCAAAAAGGGTGCTTTTCATGCACGGGGCAGTAAAGAAAGAGAACGAGAGAGAGAAAAAGAGCAGGATGCTAAATGATGAGGGTGGGGTGTATCGAGACACACGCTAAGCCCTAAATAACCCTCCTGTCCTGTAATGATTGTTTTAACCGGCACAGAAACACAGGATTTGCACTGGATTAAAGATGCAGCGCATCGACTGCAATTAACAGCGTTTAATGCGTCCAGTGTGCATCGTCATGCATGCTTCTGCAGAGTCCTCAGATCATGCGTGTTGGTGCTTTATTAAGGTTGCATGGTGTGTTGGTCATATTTGCGTGCATACAGTTGCTGAGGAGGTGTTTTCATTCAGGTAGTGCTGGAAAATGAACTGGCAACAGCGTGCAGGACTCACATGATACTCGGATGATAATTATAGCAAAGGTTCGAAACCTGAGATGCGTTTAATGTGGTGTTTGGCATCGCTGCAGTCGTGTGGTGTTGTGGGGTATCGGCTGGAGGAATGCTGTGTGTGTGTGAGTGTGTGTGTGTGTGTGAGAGAGAGAGAGTGTGTCTATGTGTGTGTCTGTGAGTGAGAGTGTGTGTCTGTGTGTGAGTGAGTGTGTGTGTGTGTGTGTGTGTGAGAGAGAGTGTGTCTATGTGTGTGTCTGTGTGTGAGGGAGTGTGTGTGTTTTTTTGAGAAAGTAAAAATGCAGAAAGTCTCCTGTGAGGGGTAGGTTTAGGGGTAGGGTTGGTGTAGGGCAATAGAATATACGGTCTGTACAGTATAAAAACCATTACGCCTATGGAGAGTCCCCACTATTCACAAAATCAAACCTGTGTGTGTGTGTGTGTGTATGTGTGTGTGTTCAGAAAGGACGGTCGTCTGCCAGCAGGAGTGCTGGTTAAAGAGGACACACTGGTGTTTGTTCGGCCTCTGAACGTGACGGATGAAGGCGTGTACGTCTGCCAGACAGCTAACAGCGTGGGAATCACTAAAGCCGAGTTTAAAGTGGAGATCGGAAGTAGGTGTTTAATCTACTACAGAAACAAATGACACAAGACCTGATCGTCACACTGACCGATGAACACAACCGCGTGGGTTTTCCCACAAAACTTTCCTTCTGTGGGAGTTGAATCATGTTAATGATCATTTCAGAATTAATTCTCTAATTTATTTATACGCTGGTCAGACTCATTCTGGAAAAACCCTGTTTAAAAGATTTGTTTTCATGTTATATATAAATTAAAACAGAGAATAACATTTATTATTTTATATTTAAATGTAATATTTTTGTAAATAATTTTCAATATTTTTAAATAATTAAAAAAATATTTTTATATTTATTTAAATGGGTGTGTGTGTGTATATACTGCATATTTATACTGCAAAAGTTTGGGATCATGTTTTTTAAAGAAGTGTCTTCTGCTCATCAAGGCTGCATGTATTTGATCAAAAATACAGAAAAAAACAGTAATCTTGCAAAATGTTATTACAATATAAAATAATGGTTTCTATTTTAATATCCTTTCAAATATCATTTATTTCTGTGATCAAAGCTGTATTTTCAGCATCATTACTCCAGTATAAAGTGTCACATGATCTTCAGAAATCATTCTAATATGCTGATTTATTATTAGAATTATCAACAGTTGTGCTGCCAAATATTGTTTTGGAAACTGATACTTTTTTCAGGATTCTTTGATGAATAAAAAGTTAAAAAGAACAGCATTTATTCAAAATAGAAATCTTTTCTAACAATATAAATCTTTGCTATCACTTCTTAACAATTTAACACATCCTCGCTGAATAAAAGTTTTAATTTCTTTCAAAAAAAGAAAGAATACAAACTTTTGAACGGTAGTGTATATTGTTAGAAAATATTTCTATTTTAACTAAATGCTCTTCTTTTTAACTTTTTATTCATCAAAGAACCCTGAAAAAAAGTATCACAGCTTCCAAAAAAATATTAAGCAGCACAACTGATAATAAAGCAGCATATTATACTGATTTCTGAAGATCATGTGACACTGAAGACTGGAGGAATGATGCTGAAAATACAGCTGCGCATCACAGAAATACATTACAGTTAAATATATATTAATATAGGAAAACTCATCATAAAAATATTTCACAATATTACATTTTTTCCTGTATTTTTGACCAAATATATGCAGCCTTGATGAGCAGAAGAAACTCCTGTAAAAAAAAAAAAACATTAAAAACCGTTCTGATCCTAAATTTTTGACTGGTAGTGTGTATATATAAATTTTTGCTAACTGTGCCACGGTTTAATATTGGTAAGTTATCTAGGTTATTATTAGCATCACTGATTACGGTTTAGTTTTTCTTTAGTACACACACACATTTTCAGCTTGGAGTGAAGATTGGAAATGTAGGTAAATGGAGTAGCAGTACCAACATCAGCTCTGTTGGCAGCAGCAGAAAATGTGCTTAATATAACCAAGATGATGTTTGATTCTGCAAAGATCTCTGTTTTTGTGTTTGTGGCCCGTCTCGTCATTTTCTCGGGATGTTTTTCTGTTGGTTGTTGCCACACGGCCCATGTTTCTCTGACTTCCTCATAAGGATTTGCACAATCGTGTAAATTTAGGTCTTGATTGTAGTCGACAGTGACTCAGAAACCAATTGGAACACCACCGCCATTCAGTGAAGAAAACTTTCCATTCATTTACTCAGCGTTTCTCTACTTTTGTGATTCTGTTGCCCCCATGTGGTGATTAAATTCAATTCAATTAAACCCTAACCCTCATGTGGTTATTTTATTTTATTTTATTTTATTTTTTATTTTTTTTATATTTTATATTTTATATTTTATATATATATATATACACACAATTTATTTTTTTATTATTTATTTTTTCATTTCATTTTAATTAATTTAATTTGTAATTTAATTTAAATTTAAAAAAAAATTTAAATAATAATTTAACCCAAATTTTTTAAAGATTAAATTAAAGACACTACAGGTGAATAGGGCAAACTAATAACATCCGTACCATCCCAAGCTGATTTATTACAGTACATTAAGCTAATTATTCTGTATTACAAGTTTTCTGAAATGCTATGTTTGGATATGCAAATAATGCACTGTCTAATTAATTATGCATTCATTTCCATACATTTCCAGAACAGAAAACTGAACATTGGTTCAAAATTCTTGTTTGAGTTTTTCCAGAGAGTGGATTCTGGATTTCTCTTTTTATCGCTCAAAAACAAACACATTTTCACCATGCATTTATTAGGAGTACAATGTTGTATAAACCAGTGTGAATGAAATACGAACAAACCTTCAGAATATAGAGAGGAATAAAACCGAGAAGTTTTGTCTGTAGCCGTTTTTGTTGTCCTATTTTTAGAACATGCATCTGAATCCGCACACGCTCTGGGAAGCCTGTCAGAGACTCTGCTCATCGTCATCGGAGCGTCTGTCGCCGGGCATATTATACTGATTTCTGAAGATCATGTGACACTGAAGACTGGAGTAATGATGCTGAAAATACAGCTGCGCATCACAGAAATACATTACAGTTTAATATATATTAATATAGGAAAACTCATCATAAAAATATTTCACAATATTAAATTTTTTCCTGTATTTTTGACCAAATATATGCAGCCTTGATAAGCAGAAGAAACTCCTGTAAAAAAAAAAAACATTAAAAACCGTTCTGATCCTAAATTTTTGACTGGTAGTGTGTATATATAAATTTTTGCTAACTGTGCCACGGTTTAATATTGGTAAGTTATCTAGGTTATTATTAGCATCACTGATTACGGTTTAGTTTTTCTTTAGTACACACACACATTTTCAGCTTGGAGTGAAGATTGGAAATGTAGGTAAATGGAGTAGCAGTACCAACATCAGCTCTGTTGGCAGCAGCAGAAAATGTGCTTAATATAACCAAGATGATGTTTGATTCTGCAAAGATCTCTGTTTTTGTGTTTGTGGCCCGTCTCGTCATTTTCTCGGGATGTTTTTCTGTTGGTTGTTGCCACACGGCCCATGTTTCTCTGACTTCCTCATAAGGATTTGCACAATCGTGTAAATTTAGGTCTTGATTGTAGTCGACAGTGACTCAGAAACCAATTGGAACACCACCGCCATTCAGTGAAGAAAACTTTCCATTCATTTACTCAGCGTTTCTCTACTTTTGTGATTCTGTTGCCCCCATGTGGTGATTAAATTCAATTCAATTAAACCCTAACCCTCATGTGGTTATTTTATTTTATTTTATTTTATTTTTTATTTTTTTTATATTTTATATTTTATATTTTATATATATATATATACACACAATTTATTTTTTTATTATTTATTTTTTCATTTCATTTTAATTAATTTAATTTGTAATTTAATTTAAATTTTAAAAAAAATTTAAATAATAATTTAACCCAAATTTTTTAAAGATTAAATTAAAGACACTACAGGTGAATAGGGCAAACTAATAACATCCGTACCATCCCAAGCTGATTTATTACAGTACATTAAGCTAATTATTCTGTATTACAAGTTTTCTGAAATGCTATGTTTGGATATGCAAATAATGCACTGTCTAATTAATTATGCATTCATTTCCATACATTTCCAGAACAGAAAACTGAACATTGGTTCAAAATTCTTGTTTGAGTTTTTCCAGAGAGTGGATTCTGGATTTCTCTTTTTATCGCTCAAAAACAAACACATTTTCACCATGCATTTATTAGGAGTACAATGTTGTATAAACCAGTGTGAATGAAATACGAACAAACCTTCAGAATATAGAGAGGAATAAAACCGAGAAGTTTTGTCTGTAGCCGTTTTTGTTGTCCTATTTTTAGAACATGCATCTGAATCCGCACACGCTCTGGGAAGCCTGTCAGAGACTCTGCTCATCGTCATCGGAGCGTCTGTCGCCGGGGTTTTGGTCATCGTTATTGTGATCGCCATCGTCTTCGTCAACTGTCACCTTAGACGCAAGAACAGGAAGCTGAAGCGAGCGCTCAGCGTCAGAACGTGAGTCTGTGACCTTTGACCTCAGAAATACATCCAGAGGAACTCTCTCAATGCAGCATGAATGTGTTTGTGTCTCAGGGAGGAGATGATCAGTCTGTCGCGGCAGGTTTCCATGAGGAGACTCAACTCCATCAACACTGATCCCAGAACAGCGGTACAGCAACATCTGTGACACACTAGAGTTTAGACTTGACCGTCGGTCTGTGAAAACAACAACAGATATTTGTGAAGAATCAGGCATTTTTGATTGTGCATGAATTCTGTAAAAGGTTTTTAGGGTTTTTTCCAAATAGCTGCTGTAATTCCTGTGATTCGCCACAAAATTAAATGAAAGGAATAAGAAATTGCATTTTCGCATTGTGGTATTATTTTCATGATGATGTAAAAAACTTGCTTGTATTTTTATAAACATAAAGCAAGAATATTGTTAGTGTAATATTATGGTTTATATATAATTGTTAATGTAAAGTGTTTATATATTAGCTTTCATTTATTGAACTATTTGTTGAATTTAATTCGTTTAATTCAAATTTAAATCTATTACAGTATTTCTATTTTGATGAGAAACTAATAATGATCCAATGATATTCTTAAATGTCATGAAAATAATGTCACAATACAAAAAAATGTCCTAAAAATTAACTTATTTATTTTTTCATGGTGAAATTTAATTCTTTTCATGAAATTCTGAATTCTTCCTTAAACTATAATTATAAAATGTGAGTTAAGCTTAAACTATAAAAACTAGTTATATTTAAACTAAAGCACTATTAAAAATAAAAATTATAGTTACAGTATTTTAAGCTTAAACTATAAACTATAAAATGTGTGATAGTTATTGTAAATGTTGTCCACCTGCCTGTTCTGTTTTCACTGTAAGTGTGTTACTGTAAACATGATTTTTGTTGTTACAAACTGAAGGATAAATCTAAATTGAGTTATAATTTACTTGGAATAGAGCTGCTTTTTGAAGTCATGTGATGCATCATACTGTGCCTCCTCCTCTGTGTGTGTGTGTGTGTGTGTGTGTGTGTTGTCTGCTGTCTGCAGCCAGAGGAGAGTTCACTGATTCAGATGGACAGTGTGACGAAGGGCAGTGTTTTTTCAGTGGAGGTGAGTTTGCCTCACACCAGCGAGTGTGTGAGAGAGTGAATGTGTGAGAGAGTGAATGTGTGAGAGAGTGAAAGTGTGAGAGTGTGAGAGTGAGAGTGTGAGAGTGAGAGTATGAGAGTGTGAGAGTGAGTGTGTGAGAGTGAAAGTGTGAGAGTGAATGTGTGAGAGAGTGAAAGTGTGAGAGAGTGAATGTGTGAGAGAGTGAAAGTGTGAGAGAGTGAATGTGTGAGAGAGTGAAAGTGTGAGAGAGTGATGTGTGTGTGTGTGTGTGTGTGTGTGTTGTCTGCTGTCTGCAGCCGGAGGAGAGTTCACTGATTCAGATGGACAGTGTGACGAAGGGCAGTGTTTTTTCAGTGGAGGTGAGTTTGCCTCACACCAGCGAGTGTGTGAGAGAGTGAGTGTGAGAGAGTGAATTGAATGTGTGAGAGAGTGAATGTGTGAGAGAGTGAATGTGTGTGAGAGTGAATGTGTGAGAGAGTGAATGTGTGAGAGAGTGAGTGTGAGAGTATGAGAGTGTGAGAGTGAGAGTGAAAGTGTGAGAGTGAGAGTGAAAGTGTGAGAGAGTGAGTGTGAGAGTGTGAGAGTGAGAGTGAGTGTGTGAGAGTGAATGTGTGAGAGAGTGAAAGTGTGAGAGAGTGAGTGTGAGAGTGTGAGAGTGAGAGTGTGAGTGTGAGAGAGAGAGTGTGAGAGAGAGAGTGTGAGAGAGAGAGTGTGAGAGAGAGAGTGTGAGAGAGAGAGTGAGTGTGTGGGTGTGTGTGTGTGTGTGTGTGTGTGTGTGTGTGAGAGAGTGTGTGTGGGTGTGTGTGTGTGTGTGTGACATTTTCACCATGCATTTATTAGGAGTACAATGTTGTATAAACCAGTGTGAATGAAATACGAACAAACCTTCAGAATATAGAGAGGAATAAAACCGAGAAGTTTTGTCTGTAGCCGTTTTTGTTGTCCTATTTTTAGAACATGCATCTGAATCCGCACACGCTCTGGGAAGCCTGTCAGAGACTCTGCTCATCGTCATCGGAGCGTCTGTCGCCGGGGTTTTGGTCATCGTTATTGTGATCGCCATCGTCTTCGTCAACTGTCACCTTAGACGCAAGAACAGGAAGCTGAAGCGAGCGCTCAGCGTCAGAACGTGAGTCTGTGACCTTTGACCTCAGAAATACATCCAGAGGAACTCTCTCAATGCAGCATGAATGTGTTTGTGTCTCAGGGAGGAGATGATCAGTCTGTCGCGGCAGGTTTCCATGAGGAGACTCAACTCCATCAACACTGATCCCAGAACAGCGGTACAGCAACATCTGTGACACACTAGAGTTTAGACTTGACCGTCGGTCTGTGAAAACAACAACAGATATTTGTGAAGAATCAGGCATTTTTGATTGTGCATGAATTCTGTAAAAGGTTTTTAGGGTTTTTTCCAAATAGCTGCTGTAATTCCTGTGATTCGCCACAAAATTAAATGAAAGGAATAAGAAATTGCATTTTCGCATTGTGGTATTATTTTCATGATGATGTAAAAAACTTGCTTGTATTTTTATAAACATAAAGCAAGAATATTGTTAGTGTAATATTATGGTTTATATATAATTGTTAATGTAAAGTGTTTATATATTAGCTTTCATTTATTGAACTATTTATGTTGAATTTAATTCGTTTAATTCAAATTTAAATCTATTACAGTATTTCTATTTTGATGAGAAACTAATAATGATCCAATGATATTCTTAAATGTCATGAAAATAATGTCACAATACAAAAAAATGTCCTAAAATTAACTTATTTATTTTTTCATGGTGAAATTTAATTCTTTTCATGAAATTCTGAATTCTTCCTTAAACTATAATTATAAAATGTGAGTTACGCTTAAACTATAAAAACTATAGTTCTATTTAAACTAAAGCGCTATTAAAAATAAAAATTATAGTTACAGTATATTAAGCTTAAACTATAAACTATAAAATGTGTGATGGTTATTGTAAATGTTGTCCACCTGCCTGTTCTGTTTTCACTGTAAGTGTGTTACTGTAAACATGATTTTTGTTGTTACAAACTGAAGGATAAATCTAAATTGAGTTATAATTTACTTGGAATAGAGCTGCTTTTTGAAGTCATGTGATGCATCATACTGTGCCTCCTCCTCTGTGTGTGTGTGTGTGTGTGTGTGTGTGTTGTCTGCTGTCTGCAGCCGGAGGAGAGTTCACTGATTCAGATGGACAGTGTGACGAAGGGCAGTGTTTTTTCAGTGGAGGTGAGTTTGCCTCACACCAGCGAGTGTGTGAGAGAGTGAGTGTGAGAGAGTGAATTGAATGTGTGAGAGAGTGAATGTGTGAGAGAGTGAATGTGTGTGAGAGTGAATGTGTGAGAGAGTGAATGTGTGAGAGAGTGAGTGTGAGAGTATGAGAGTGTGAGAGTGAGAGTGAAAGTGTGAGAGTGAGAGTGAAAGTGTGAGAGTGAGAGTGAAAGTGTGTGAGAGTGAAAGTGTGTGAGAGAGTGAGTGTGAGAGAGTGACTGTGATTGTGAGTTAGTGAGTGTGATTGTGAGATAGTGAGTGTGATTGTGTGTGTGTGAGAGAGTGTGTGTGATTTTGTGAGTGATTGTGTGAGTGATTGCGAGATAGTGAGTGTGATTGTGTGTGAGAAAGTGTGAAAGAGTGTGTGTGATTGTGTGAGTGTGATTGCGAGATAGTGAGTGTGATTCTGTGAGTGTGTGTGTGTGTGTGAGAGAGATTGTGTGAGAGAGTGAAAGTGTGAGAGAGTGAGTGTGAGAGTGTGAGAGTGAGAGTATGAGAGTGTGAGAGTGAGTGTGTGAGAGTGAAAGTGTGTGAGAGAGTGAGTGTGAGAGAGTGACTGTGATTGTGAGTTAGTGAGTGTGATTGTGTGTGTGTGAGAGAGTGTGTGTGATTTTGTGAGTGATTGTGTGAGAGTGTGAGTGATTGCGAGATAGTGAGTGTGATTGCGAGATAGTGAGTGTGATTGTGTGTGAGAAAGTGTGAAAGAGTGTGTGTGATTGTGTGAGTGTGATTGCGAGATAGTGAGTGTGATTGTGTGTGAGAAAGTGTGAAAGAGTGTGTGTGATTGTGTGAGTGTGATTGCGAGATAGTGAGTGTGATTCTGTGAGTGTGTGTGTGTGTGTGAGAGAGATGGAGAGTGTGTGTGATTGTGTGATTGTGATTGTGTGTGTGTGTGTGTGTGAGACCCTCAGCAGAATAAACACGTCTGCGTCTCTCTGTAGGATCATTCAACGCTGAGTGACGTGAGAGGCAGACGTGGAGACAGAGAGTACGATAGTCTGGGACGTCCCGCCATCTACACGACGTACTGCCCGGAGCGATCCAGCAAGAACACGAGACAGATTGAGGAGGAGAGAAATGAGCGCAGACGGAGAGTAGAGTCCTACGTCAAATCCAGCAATATGTCACTGGTGAGTGTGTGTATGAAATCAAAATGAATCCATCTACCTTCTTAATGCATGAGGCATCCATTCAAATGAGAGTTTGAACTGGTTCACATCGACTGAATCAAGTTTGAATAGATTCGAAGAATCAAACTGTTTTTAAAGGATCAGTATATTGAAGCTTTAGACACAAAATTTTAAAAAACCTAAAAGAAAAGTTTGCATGTGTTTTTTTTTTAATATCATATGTGATGCATCAGGCTTTTAAGACCCATATAGTGATATGCACAAAATCCCACAATGCACAAAAATGTCTATTTAATATACATGTCACTTCTGTAATTCCTGTCATTCGTCACAAAATCAAAAGAAAGAAATAAGAAATTATATTCTGCATTAAAAATCATTAAGATGTTTTTGCATTGTGACATTATTTTCATGATGTTTAAGAAAACCTACTTGTACTCTCATCACCTTAATGCAAATAAATCAGTAAAGTATTTATATATGGGTTCGAGTTTATGCTCCTGCCTTTAATTTATGCTCATTTAATTAAAAATAATCTTTGTATTGCAGTTTATTTTTTGATGAGAATCAACTTTTAGAATAATAACTAATAACAAAAAAAGTAAGGTTGTTTTTAATTGTCATGAAAATAATGCCACAATGCAAAAAAATATACTTTTTTTATATTCATTTCAATTCAAGTTTATTTGTATATCGCTTTTCACGATACAAATCATTGCAGATCATTGTGTCACTATTATATGCCTAAAGAAAATGTTTTTTATTATATATATATATATATACACATAGATTTTAATTATTTTCCTAACTATTACTCTATTTATATATTAGTGAGTGTTTATTATCTTTCCTTTCATTTATGCTGATTTAAATGTATATATAAAAAAAATTCAAGAGTGTCATTATGATGGTACTTTTATGATACTTTCTCGTATTATTTTGTATAATCGATTTGACAGCTACAAGCACATATCAGACTTTCATGTTTGTTTGAATTGGCTCCTTTTAAAGATCATAAACTGATTTATTACATATTAATCTGTCATTATACTAAGCATTCTCCTACAAGTGATTTTATAGGATGTTTATATTTATATACTTGCTCACAAAAATATTGTGCAGCACAACTGTTTTCAACATTGATAATAATCAGAAATGTTTCTCGAGCAGCAGATCAGCATATTATACTGATTTCTGAAGATCATGTGACACTGAAGAAAATCAGTAACTACAAAGAACCTCTGAATTTACTTCTTCAACAGTATTATTGGAAGTAGCTTGGATTATTTTGTATTCATTTAAATGTACATTTTTGATTCATATTTATTACATCTATATTATATCATCATAAACATATAATGTACAAATATGTAATAATGTAATAATAATGCAGTATATTTCAGCAACATTTCAGCATTTCAAATATGAAAATGAATTATATATATATATATACATTTTATAACATTTATTTTCGTATTTGAAATGCTGAAATGTCAAATACATGGCATTAATTCAAAAATAAAAATGGAAAAAATTATGCGGTTCGTAGTATTCAGTATGTAGTATGCAGTATTCAGTATGTAGTATGCATTATGAAGTATGTAGTATTCAGTAAATATTATGTAGTATGCATTATGAAGTATATAGTTGCAGTATTCGGTATGAAGTATTCAGTATATATTATACGGTATGTAGTATGCAGTATGAAGTATATAGTTGCAGTATTCGGTATGAAGTATTCAGTATATATTATTCGGTATGTAGTATGCAGTATGAAGTATATAGTTGCAGTATTCGGTTTTAAGTATTCAGTATATATTATTCGGTATGTAGTATTCAGTATGTAGTATGCATTATTCAGTAAGTATTATGCGGTATGTAGTATGCATCATGAAGTATGCAGTATTCAGTAAGTATTATGTAGTATGCAGTCTGTACCCGTGCTGCTGGCAGCGGTGACGCGCTGTAAGCCGCTCTCGAGCGCCGTGACTCTGCTCTTCATCGCGTCGAGCTGCGCGTCTCTCTGGCGGATCTGCAGCCGCATCAGCACCAGCGCGTCCTCATGCAGCTGCAGGATCTCCGACACCGCGGCCTCCAGCACGCACTTCAGTCTGCTCTCAAACACGGCGCTGCTGCTCGACATCTTCCCTTCCGCACGCGTCCAGACCATCGCGCGCTCACTGTCGCTGCGGACGGCAACACTTCCGGCTTCAGCAGCAGCAGCAGCAGCAGCAGCAGCCCGTAAACACCGCAAGAGAAGAGCGGCAGCAAACCGTGCACTTCACAAGATTAACACAACATGCAGTGGTCCTCAAAGTCTCTGTTTTCATCACGCAAGTTGCTGTCTGACACACTTTTCCGCAGCCTTTTGATCGACTGAGTTCTGACTGGAAATAATCGACCCGAAAATCATCGGCTGTTTTTAAAAACATGGCCGATCTGCGATGCCGATATATCGGTGCATCCCTGGTTTTCACGTGTGTGTGCGCGTCTTGCGGTGGGTTTTCTGGTGCGTGCGCAGGTTGCTCTGCTGTGAGAAGTTTTTTCCGCAGGTTGTGCAGCGGTAGGGTTTCTCTCCAGTGTGAATGCGCTGGTGCATCTGCAGGTGACTGAAGCGATCGAAACTCTTCCCGCAGAACGAACAGATGAACCACTTCTCATGCACCGTTTCACTCTGGTGCGCCGCCACCGCTGCGGCGAACACGTGTCTGTCTGCGCAGCTGTGGTTCAGATTCTCATCTGGAAGCGTTCGGATGAAATCTGGTTCTGTTCTTCTGTCGGTGCATGAGTTTTGGTTTACGGACTCAAAGTTGAAGTTGTTTAAGGTTTGTCTAGCTGCGACGGACGAGCTGCTTTCTGCAGATGCGAATGCGCATGCGTCTGCAGGCATCTGCGGATCTATGATTTCAGATGGAAAGCTCTGCTTCATCTCCACCTCCAGCAGTCCACCGAAGTCTTCCTCGCTGTGAGGAGCGTCGAGTCTGTCTGCGCAGATGATCTGTGTGTGTGTTTCTCCACAGGAATGATGCTCTGGATCGGTGTTTGTCTGGTTGAAGTCTAGATTCCTATCGTGATGAAGATGAGAAGCAGGTTTCTGAACGAGACGCCCTGCAGATAAACCATCCGGCTTCAGCAGCAGCAGCAGCAGCAGCTGCAGCCCGTAAACACCGCAAGAGAAGAGCGGCAGCAAACCGTGCACTTCACAAGATTAACACAACATGCAGTGGTCCTCAAAGTCTCAGAAGAACAATCACCGACCAATCAGAGTGATGGTAATCATTTTCTTTCCTATATATAATTATTATAAATTATTTCATTATAATTCATTAGGTACATGATATGTTTAACAAGTTACAAATATAGTAAAACAATTAATTAAAAAAAATATATATATATATCGTTATAATTCATTATATTTCATAGTAATATCTGAAATGTTTAAGGTATATAATATGTTCTAGAAGTGACAAATACAGTAAAACAATTCAAAAATAAGAATGGAAAAAATAAATATTTAAAAAAAGTTATTTATATATAAATATATATGATGAAATATGCATTTAATTTTTTTTTTTTTAATATTTAATGTTGAAGGTCAATATTAATTGAAAAATAAGAATGGAAAAAATTAATGTATTTAAAAAAAAGTTATATATATATATATATGATGAAATATATATTTTATTTATTTTGTTTTAATATTTAATGTTGAAGGTCAATATTAATTCAAAAATAAGTTATTTAAAAATTTTATTTTAATTTTGTTTTAATGTTTCATTTATTTTTATTATACAATTATTTATAATACTTCTATAATAATTTATACATTTGTAGTATTTATAATAAATTAGTTATATTTTATTTATTTAAATATTTGAAATGTTGAAGGTCAAACGCATGGCGTTATGTTCTAGAAGTGCCAAAAACAAATATCAACTCAAAAATACAAATGGAAAAAAGTTTTCATTTTAGAAAGCTTTTAGTCGTTTTCATGTTTCATGTTAAATCATTAAAAAAATCGAGTCCAATACCAAACTGTAACAGTTGAACCACTTCTTAGCATTTATTTTATTCAATCATGCAGACAAATCATTAACAAATTGCGCAGAAAACACGTAAATCGATACACTATGAAAATACAATTTGAAAGTGTAAAAAGTGCATTGAGTTAACATGACAAAAAAAGTTCCTCTGTGTGTTTTACAGTGAATCAGCAGATGTGTGTTTGCAGCCGTTCTGCTGAAGGTCAGGCCGCCGTCAGCTGTGATCCCACGCGCTCGAGTGCGTCCTCTGATGAGACTTCAGACTGGAGCGCTGCGTGAAGCGTTTCCCGCACTGGCCACACTGGTACGGCTTCTCTCCGCTGTGCACCACGGCGTGCCGGGTCAGATTGCAGTGTTTGGTGAAGCTGCGGCCGCACTGAGCGCAGGCGAAGGGCTTCTCGCCCGTGTGACAGCGCAGATGCTCCTTCAGCTGACTGAACCGACTGAAGCTCTTCTCGCAGTACGAGCAGCTGAAGCGCTTCTCCACGCTCGCGGGCGGCCCGTGACTGAACGCTGGAACCGAGTCGACTACTGCGCTCATCATCTGATCGTTTGCATCGATCTGTTCAGGCTCATACAGCTCCATTTGTGTCTCCACGGGATGCAGATGTGTGCTGAAGACCGCCGTGTCTCGTGACGTTGGAAACGTCCGTTCTGTGTCTTCAGCGGTTGTTTCAGGGGCCGTCGTCCACAGCTGAGCAAACCTCGGGTGGACTCTCGGTTCCTCATCGTCCTTCTCGGCTTTAAGCTGGAGTCCCAGACCGCTCAGACGCTCTGTGGCCGTCTGTGAATGTGTGTTTTGGATCTCTGAAGCTCCAGAGAGCTGGTGGTTCTCCATGTTCTCCTGAGCTTGGATCTGCTGGATGTTCTGCTGCTCGTGATCGAAGGGACGATTCCCTGTGTGTTAAAGTAGAAAGACACACTTTAGAAGACTTTTAAAAAGAGTACTTGTCATAAAATTAATAGACTTTAAAATGATATACTTAAGTGTGAACTTAATGACACTTTAATTGCAATGAAATGATAATGCATTATAGTTTAAATGTTGATTAAAAGCAATTAGTTGAACTTAAGAGTGTTTTTAATTTACCTACTTAAGTGGGACTTAAGTTAATCTTTTCCCCCGGATTCATAGACAAGGCTTAAGTCTAGTCTCAGACTAAAATGCATGTCTGGGCTGTTTTAACTTAAAGAAACGTGCACTGACAAATCTTAAAATATGTTTTGTCTTAAGATGCACACCAGTAATGTTTTTTTAAGCTACTTGAATGTCTTTGTGAACTATGGCCTAATCATGGCTTAACCTAAGCCCTGTCTGTGAAACCATAATTAATTCTATTGTCTATTAAAAGTGGACTGCTGAATGTACTGACAAGCATTTATGATAAACTAAAATATACTTTAATGTCACTTTAGCATACTTTAAAAAATAACACTTATTACAGAAATATTATACTGTAAAAGAACATTCTTAAGCGTAAACTGAATGTAATGTTTTCAGACACTTGATTGCATGTTAATTGCAATTAAATTAACATGCATTGAAGTTTAAATTTATATTAAATGCAATCAGTTGAACTTTAGAGTGCTTTTGACCCACTACCACTTAATTACAACTTTATAAGTAATTTCATAATCACTTTTAGGGTCTATTAAATGGTTAAACTGACAAGCGTAAACAAAATTTATGATAAACTAAAATATGCATTAATGTCACTTTAGCATACTTTTAAAAAGAGCGCTTATTACGGAAATAATATATTTTAAAAGAATATACTTAAGTGCGAACTGAATGTAATGTTTTCAGACACTTAATTGCATGTTATTTACAGTTAATGAAAATGTATTATACAGTAGTTTAAATGTATATTAAATGCAATTAGCTGAACTATTAAACTATGTTAAAGTAAAATATACTTTAATGTCACTTTAGCATACTTTAAAAAAGAGCACCTTTTATAAAGAATACTTTTTAAAAAAAGAATACTTATTACGGAAATAATATAATTTTCAAAACTATATATATATATATAATTAAGTGCAAATTAATGACATATAATTGCATTTTAAGAAAATGTATTATAGTTTACATTTAGGCTTTTTGATCCACTTTTTTCATTTCATAATTACTTCTAACGTCCATGAAATATTGTTAAAGTGTTACTAATATTTAGTTAACTAAAATATACTTTAATGTCATTTCTATTAAAACTTGTATGTCATGAAATTAAAATACATTTAAATACACATTTGTAATGATGAAGTTGCAGCTTAGTACATTTAAAATATATTAATTTTAAATATAATATTGAATGACACACTAACGTTAAAATTATAATAAAGTGCTTTCCATTTGCTTTAGTATGTTAGTCAACACATCAAAATAAGTGTACTTCTTTAAAACGCGACAAAAGATTCAAACATAACGATTTAAATTGTGCTTTAAAGTAAAACTTTTAATCTGACACTATTACAAAAAATTTACTTTTTAAAAGTGTCCTTAAGTCATGAAAGTAAACTCTTTAAATATACTTATTTAAATAATATTATATTACCTGCAAGCAGTGTCGGGGAAAGTTACTTTTAAAAGTAATGCGTTACAATGTTGCGTTACTCCATAAAAAAGAGTAACTAATTACGTTACTTAGTTACTTTTTATGGAAAGTAATGAGTTACGTTACTTTTGCGTTACTTTTTAAATCTGGACAGGGCTTGCTTGTTTGTTTTTAAAATAAAAAAAGTTATATTTTTGGCAAATATAAAAGCCTTTCACACCAAAAGTGAAATGAATAAGCCTCAGGCTGAAGGGAAAGTACAGTAGAACGCAGAAGAAGACATTTCAACACACTTCAGCAATAAACAAACACACACAGATGTTCGTCTAGAGTAATGTGTGTTTATTAGTACGCTTGAACTGCATCATCAGAAGCTCAGAAGCTAATAGAATGGGATTAAATACATAAAGCATATTTGTGTTGTTTAACATTTAATTATTGCAGGTTTGCGTCATATTCTGAGTTGCATTATTTGTATTCATTTTGAGGAATACTGAATCTGTGTTTGTGTGAGTGAGATGAATTAATGCATATTCATATTTATTTTAGAGCTACAGTAACATCTTCTGATTTCTCTCAACATGGCGACAGGAGAGCTGTCAGTCAATAAACTGGGAAAAGTAACTTGCGTTACTTATTTGAAAAAGTAACTCAGATATTCTCTTGTAAATTAATAAGTAATGCGTTACTTTACTAGTTACTTGAAAAAGTAATCTGATTACGTAACTCGCGTTACTTGTAATGCGTTACCCCCAACACTGCCTGCAAGTACAGTTTTTAAATATGATTTTATGATTTTAAGTACACACAATTAAGTGCACTTCTATTCGCACAAGGCTAAGTGTTCAAGAAATGTTTTATTTATTCTCCCTCATGTTGTTCCAAACCTGTATGACTTTCTTCAATCGCAGAGTTGAGTTAAACGCTAAACAAGAAAAGTATAAAACGTTCTGCAGCTTCCACAGAAGATATTCAAACAGGGTCCGAGCATCAGTGTATCTCTGCGTTTGTCCTGTCGTATCAGGATTCATCTGAAGTTTAGTTTTCTAGTGTCAGATGTGATCGTACCTCGTGCACCGCTGCCGGATTCCTGTTCCTGTCGCTCTTGTTTAATCACCGGAGGTCTGATTCCGTCCTCCAGCGGACAGACCGACTACAAAACACACCAACACACATCAGTGTTTCAACTCAGTCCGATTAATCAAACACAAGAACCAGCTGAAAACTAAAGTCTGTTGAGGTTTATCAATGATTAAACCAAAAATATATATATTTTTAAATAGATTTTATGTTTACAACAATTTAAAGCAGTATTACACTTATTGTTTTTATGCTTCAACCCTTTTTCGTCTTTGACCCTTATATATATATATATATATATATAAAAACCGTCTAAAAGTAAAGATTTTCGTAACTTATCGTGTTTTATTTTGCAGCTGCACATAATTTGTCGCTCTGTGACTCTTCCGAGCCTTGAAATTATGATTATGAAAATGTCCTGATGTCTCCGGGTGGGATAACATCAGAACGCTCCTCTGAGTTTGTGTGCGGTCACCTGATCTGATCTGGTCTGATCTGGATTCTGGTCTTGATCTCTGATCGCAGGCGTGTCGGCGTCTCTCGGCGTCTTGAACCACACTGAAACACATTACACATCTGCTACTACAACTCTTTACTCAATTCATAATATTCATGCAGATCTGCATTAGTCAGGCTGTACTAGAATCCTTATTTTGTTTTAATTCCTTCCTATAGTTTATGTCATAGTTATAGTCTTATGTTGCCATGGTAGTAGTAGGATGCTATTCCTTGCAGTGCCATGGTGCATCAATATAATAGTCCTATGGTATGACTACAGTAGGCTACTTCTGTGTGTGGGCAGTGATGACCTCTGACCTGTCCTCCTGCCCCGTCCTCTGGCCCTCCTCAGCTCGCTGTCCATCAGCACGCATTTCCTCTTGAGCGCCTCGATGTCTCTGCGGCTGCGGCTGAGCTCCAGTCTGAAGACCGCGCAGCTCTCCTCCACGCGCCGCTTGATCTCCGCTTCCGCCGCTTTGGCTGCGATCTCCACGAAGGACACCAGCTGCGCCTGGAACGAGCAGTACGACATGATCGATTATCAAAACCACGGGCTTTATATATTAAAAACCGTCCAGTGCCGAATGTGCTTCCAAGATACACCCTACAGAACAGAGCGGTTTAACAAATCCACATATATCCTCAAAGAAAGCGAATAAACTGATACAATGACAGCGAGAATGACAGGACGGTGACAGAATGGGCGGGGTTTAGCGGCCAGGAAATAATTCTATTTGTTTTTTTTTATTGACTCTTTTTTTATTTTAATTGCGTATTTCATCACGTCTGACTGTTTTAAATAAATACATTTCCTCAAAAAATAAAAAAAACTAATAAACTGATAGAATGACAGTACGGTGACAGAATGGGCGGGGTTTAGCGGCAAGGAAATAATTCTATTTGTTTTTTTTTATTGACTCTTTTTTTATTTTAATTTCGTATTTCATCACGTCTGACTGTTTTAAATAAATACATTTCCTCAAAAAATAAAAAAAGCGAATAAACTGATAGAATGACAGGACGGTGACAGCATGGGCGGGGTTTAGCGGCCAGGAAATAATTCTATTTTTTTAATTATTATTACTCCTTTTTTATTTTAATTGCGTATTTCATCACGTCTGACTGTTTTAAATAAATACATTTCCTCAAAAAATAAAAAAAGCGAATAAACTGATAGAATGACAGGACGGTGACAGCATGGGCGGGGTTTAGCGGCCAGGAAATAATTCTATTTTTTTAATTATTATTACTCCTTTTTTATTTTAATTGCGTATTTCATCACGTCTGACTGTTTTAAACATATAAATGTCCTCAAAAAAAAACGAATAAACTGATAGAATGACAGCGAGAATGACAGAATGGGCGGGGTTTAGCTGGCAGGAAAACAACAACAACAAAAAAATAATATATATATATAATTTTTTTTTCTCAATGTATATTAGTTTGTGAGCTGTCCGTGGTGTCCTTATATAGCCTAGGTGTAAATATTATGCACTGGAAATATCAAAGTCCAGTCTTTGACTTTTACATACATAATATATGTATACGTTCTAGTGTACAAATATCTTCAATGAAACAAAAAACACCGTCAGATTTGAATGCGTCTCAAAGTAGGATCGGCGTTGTGGGCCCCAAAGCGCCTTCTGGTGGAAAACAGCAGAAAACACTCGCTTCCGGACACCATACCGTAAATATACTAGATTAATAGCCAGTAATCTGTCTCTCAGTGGCTGCTACACACTCTTTTATTAAATTTAAACGTGCTTAAGTGAGGTACATTTTTATATCAAAGCTACAGTTATTACACACTCAAATAAAAGCATTCTCTAACTAACTCGAAAGCTGTACTTGACATTGAAATCATTTTACACGCACATAGTAATACGCAATAACATGCAAAATTATCTATCATTATAGCTCTATCACGGTTATATGAAATACCATGTTTTTATTTGGTATTTAATATTTTTTTTTGCATGCATACATGCTACCTTTGAATGCTTTGATATGGTTTATCAGATAAATAATAAATAATCATTCTGTACTATGGTATAGGTGCATATATGAAAATACTCTTGGATATAGTACTATAGGAATACTATTTTTTCTGCTTTCAACATGTTGCAATGAAAATGCCATGTTTTCTTGGACATTTGCCATGTTAGAATAATGCTTTTTACTACCATGAGATATATATATATGTGTGTGTGTGTGTATATATTAAAGTACTGTTGGTTTTTTGGACATAGTACCAAAGAAATACCTATTTTGGTTGGTTTGGTTTTGTTTTACCACATGATACAATGAAAATGACATGTTTTCTTACATATTTACCATGTTAGGACAATGCAGTTTTTTGAAGAACCCTGGAATACCATGAAAATACCATGGTAATGAATATGGTAATCCTTCAATATCACCTAGTTCTGCTCTAGCTTATGCATTAATATAGTTCCTACACTTGTACACTATGAATATCATTGCCTTTCATGACAAATTGCATGTGATTTTCCTCTTCTGCAAGATGCTTAAATGCATAAATGTAAAAGCAATCATATAATATGTGTGGTTTTTTTGGGTACAGTATAGTTTGTTTTGTTTTTCAGCAAGATGCAACAGAAATGGCATGCTTTCTTGGACATTTACCATGTTAGGAGCACCATGAAAATACCATGGTAAGTGTTAATATTAATATGACCGGCCTTTATGACAAAGTGCATGTGATTTTCCTCATTTGCAAGATGCTTTGTAATGTAATGTAATTGTAATGTAAACGTAATCTTAGTTATATTAAACTACTGTGGTGTTTTTCTCTGTTTTGTGTCCTGATGTCCATCTGTCTTAGGCTGGGGAATAGCATTGGCCTGATGCTTCACAGATGGATGAACGCAGACACCAGGTCGAGATAAAGGCGTATATTAGAAATGGAGAATCAAGACAGAAAGTAAAGACTCAGGAAGTCACTGAGGGAAGTTTAGTGGTTTCTTGCGTCACAGACACTTTACACTGAAGCTTGTGCCGGTGCAGAGAGAAAGGTAAGGACTGGAGGCTTTTCTCTATTCTTCTCTACGTTTCTCGTCTCAGTTCTTCATTCAGGTTTGCTTGTAAAGATGCCGGATCGTACGCTCATAGGATGTTATCAGGGGGGAAAAGGCCTGGGTTTATTTGATGATGCGAGCGTTAAGCACTCGTGGCCTTCAGATCTGATCAGTCATTTCCGCAAGAGCACCAGAGAGGAACAAACTCACTGAAATACACAGACGAACGTGATGCAAAACCTTCACAAGCTGTCGGAGGCTTCAGAAGCGTAGCAGGATTTGAATCGATCTTCTCGGTTTCTTCTGGAAAGATATGAAGAGCGTGTAGAAAGCGTGAGGGTGTGGCCTTCAACTGGTGCAAAACTCAGAAAGTCAGAAGAGGAAGCGCTGGCACTGAGGTCTGCTGGAGATGTGAAGCTCTGCGGTGCTTTACCAGAACTTCTGTCGAGCTTCAGCAAGCAAAATGTTAAATGCATTTGTCATGGTTCGTCTCATTTGCTCTCCGTTTAGTCGTTGTACAAATATCTTCAATGAAACAAAAAACACCGTCAGATTTGAATGCGTCTCAAAGTAGGATCGGCGTTGTGGGCCCCAAAGCGCCTTCTGGTGGAAAACAGCAGAAAACACTCGCTTCCGGACACCATACCGTAAATATACTAGATTAATAGCCAGTAATCTGTCTCTCAGTGGCTGCTACACACTCTTTTATTAAATTTAAACGTGCTTAAGTGAGGTACATTTTTATATCAAAGCTACAGTTATTACACACTCAAATAAAAGCATTCTCTAACTAACTCGAAAGCTGTACTTGACATTGAAATCATTTTACACGCACATAGTAATACGCAATAACATGCAAAATTATCTATCATTATAGCTCTATCACGGTTATATGAAATACCATGTTTTTATTTGGTATTTAATATTTTTTTTTGCATGCATACATGCTACCTTTGAATGCTTTGATATGGTTTATCAGATAAATAATAAATAATCATTCTGTACTATGGTATAGGTGCATATATGAAAATACTCTTGGATATAGTACTATAGGAATACTATTTTTTCTGCTTTCAACATGTTGCAATGAAAATGCCATGTTTTCTTGGACATTTGCCATGTTAGAATAATGCTTTTTACTACCATGAGATACAGTGGGGCAAAAAAGTATTTAGTCAGCCACCAATTGTGCAAGTTCTCCCACTTAAAAAGATGAGAGAGGCCTGTAATTTTCATCATAGGTATACCTCAACTATGAGAGACAAAATGAGAAGAAAAAAATCCAGAAAATCACATTGTAGGATTTTTAAAGAATTTATTTGCAAATTATGGTGGAAAATAAGTATTTGGTCAATAACAAAATTTCATCTCAATACTTTGTTATATACCCTTTGTTGGCAATGACAGAGGTCAAACGTTTTCTGTAAGTCTTCACAAGGTTGTCACACGCTGTTGCTGGTATTTTGGCCCATTCCTCCATCCAGATCTCCTCTAGAGCAGTAATGTTGTGGGGCTGTCTGGCTGCTACACACTCTTTTATTAAATTTAAACGTGCTTAAGTGAGGTACGTTTTTATATCAAAGCTACAGTTATTACACACTCAAATAAAAGCATTCTCTAACTAACTCGAAAGCTGTACTTGACATTGAAATCATTTTACACGCACATAGTAATACGCAATAACATGCTAAATTATCTATCATTATAGCTCTATCACAGTTATATGAAATACCATGTTTTTATTTGGTATTTAATATTTTTTTTTGCATGCATACATGCTACCTTTGAATGCTTTGATATGGTTTATCAGATAAATAATCATTCTGTACTATGGTATAGGTGCATATATGAAAATACTCTTGGATATAGTACTATAGGAATACTAATTTTTCTGCTTTCAACATGTTGCAATGAAAATGCCATGTTTTCTTGGACATTTGCCATGTTAGAATAATGCTTTTTACTACCATGAGATATATATATATGTGTGTGTGTGTGTATATATTAAAGTACTGTTGGTTTTTTGGACATAGTACCAAAGAAATACCTATTTTGGTTGGTTTGGTTTTGTTTTACCACATGATACAATGAAAATGACATGTTTTCTTACATATTTACCATGTTAGGACAATGCAGTTTTTTGAAGAACCCTGGAATACCATGAAAATACCATGGTAATGAATATGGTAATCCTTCAATATCACCTAGTTCTGCTCTAGCTTATGCATTAATATAGTTCCTACACTTGTACACTATGAATATCATTGCCTTTCATGACAAATTGCATGTGATTTTCCTCTTCTGCAAGATGCTTAAATGCATAAATGTAAAAGCAATCATATAATATGTGTGGTTTTTTTGGGTACAGTATAGTTTGTTTTGTTTTTCAGCAAGATGCAACAGAAATGGCATGCTTTCTTGGACATTTACCATGTTAGGAGCACCATGAAAATACCATGGTAAGTGTTAATATTAATATGACCGGCCTTTATGACAAAGTGCATGTGATTTTCCTCATTTGCAAGATGCTTTGTAATGTAATGTAATTGTAATGTAAACGTAATCTTAGTTATATTAAACTACTGTGGTGTTTTTCTCTGTTTTGTGTCCTGATGTCCATCTGTCTTAGGCTGGGGAATAGCATTGGCCTGATGCTTCACAGATGGATGAACGCAGACACCAGGTCGAGATAAAGGCGTATATTAGAAATGGAGAATCAAGACAGAAAGTAAAGACTCAGGAAGTCACTGAGGGAAGTTTAGTGGTTTCTTGCGTCACAGACACTTTACACTGAAGCTTGTGCCGGTGCAGAGAGAAAGGTAAGGACTGGAGGCTTTTCTCTATTCTTCTCTACGTTTCTCGTCTCAGTTCTTCATTCAGGTTTGCTTGTAAAGATGCCGGATCGTACGCTCATAGGATGTTATCAGGGGGGAAAAGGCCTGGGTTTATTTGATGATGCGAGCGTTAAGCACTCGTGGCCTTCAGATCTGATCAGTCATTTCCGCAAGAGCACCAGAGAGGAACAAACTCACTGAAATACACAGACGAACGTGATGCAAAACCTTCACAAGCTGTCGGAGGCTTCAGAAGCGTAGCAGGATTTGAATCGATCTTCTCGGTTTCTTCTGGAAAGATATGAAGAGCGTGTAGAAAGCGTGAGGGTGTGGCCTTCAACTGGTGCAAAACTCAGAAAGTCAGAAGAGGAAGCGCTGGCACTGAGGTCTGCTGGAGATGTGAAGCTCTGCGGTGCTTTACCAGAACTTCTGTCGAGCTTCAGCAAGCAAAATGTTAAATGCATTTGTCATGGTTCGTCTCATTTGCTCTCCGTTTAGTCGTTGTCCTGTTTTTTGAGTTTCCTTCTTGCATTTCTGCTGTGCTTTTTGTGTTTCCTGTGGTTGTGAACCCAGAGCTTTATGCAGTTTCATAATTCAGGCGACTCAATGGAGTTTAATGTGTCGGTTAAGCAATTACAGATCAATATTGATTTCAAATCAACTACATTTACTTGAGGCGCAAAATGACGTCAGTTGTTTTCTACCACTGTGATTGTGTTTTTTTAATTCAATTTCAATGAAAATTAGAAATAGCCATTCCTTAGTTTTAGGAGATGGGATGCTTTTTAGGAATATTTTGAATAACCAGTTTTCTCAACTTGTGAATATGGTAATTTTGGTGGAATGTAAACCTTTCTTTACTTTCTTTACTATTTCTTTCTACTTTATTTTAGCTTTCTTCTTACTTCGATTCAGTGAGAAAGTCTGAAATACTTTTTAAAAAATAAGGAAGATGGAATATATACTGTATATACTGTGTATGTATATATATATATATACTGTAAAAAATGTGAAAATGAATGAAGGTGGGTTTCTTGCATTGGCTGATAATTGTGCTTGTTTTAAGCATAAAGAAGACTCATTATCATGTAATTTTGCATCTCAAATAAATGTATCTTGATTTAATAATGTTTAGATATTTGTAGTGGAAAACAAGGCAAAGATACTGAGGAAGAACATCATTTTTTGCAACGAGTAAGAGTGTAGAGCTTAAAATGAATGTGGATCATCTCAGATGATTTAATCTTGTGAAAATTTAAATCAAAACACCAACAAGGATCTATAATGAGATATTATAGAAATGTATTAGCCTACAGAGAACTATAAAGCAACTCAAAACCTTCAACAACCTTTATTTTTAAGAATGAGCACAGAATTGTTGTTATTCTGAATGTTAAGGCTTGTATATTGTTTCTTTCTTTTTTTATATAGATATATTTCATATCTCTGCATATGAAGCATCTGATCCATCAAGCAGTGACGCACGATGTAGTTGATCAGTGAACGTCAGTGCATGAGACATTCCTTAAAGTCATATAATACTGTCAGATATTCTCCTGCAGCCGTCATGTGAGCTTTAACTTCAGTGATTCACACACACACTCATTAGATCAGCTCACACACACACACACACACACACACACACACACACACACACACACACACACACACACACACAAGGCCTGGATGTTAGAGAGTTAGAGAGGGAAAAGCAAGATGAGGAGAGGCCGGAGAAAAGGAGGCAGTCGGGACAAAGTGTTCGGATGTGACCTGCTGGAGCACCTCAACTCCACCGGACAGGAGAGTGAGTTCATTCACTCACACACTCACGCACTCACTCACTCACTCACTCACTCACTTGTTTCTTTCTTTTTTTATATAGATATATTTCATATCTCTGCATATGAAGCATCTGATCCATCAAGCAGTGACGCACGATGTAGTTGATCAGTGAACGTCAGTGCATGAGACATTCCTTAAAGTCATATAATACTGTCAGATATTCTCCTGTTCTCCTGCAGTGAGCTTTAACTTCAGTGATTCACACACACACTCATTAGATAAACTCACACACACACACACACACACACACACACACCCCCACACACACACACACACACACACACACACACACACACACACACAAGGCCTGGATGTTAGAGAGGAGGTGAAGGAAAAGCAAGATGAGGAGAGGCCGGAGAAAAGGAGGCAGTCGGGACAAAGTGTTCGGATGTGACCTGCTGGAGCACCTCAACTCCACCGGACAGGAGAGTGAGTTCATTCACTCACACACTCACTCACTCACTCACTCACTCACTCACTCACACACACACACACACACTTGCACACACACACACACACACACACACGT